CAGCCAGTTTAACATCATATAACTTAGCTGCAGGTCATATGCTTCTACTCTGAAGATTCTTTGGAGAGAATTCTTCCAAGGGGATTCTTCCCTGAGTAATTGAGTGGAGGATGCCAGAAGAGAATTCTAGTCTTCTCATTGGAATCAGTCAAACTAAATAAGAGCTTAAAAGAGTATAAAAGAGTTCAAGAAGAGAGAAGATAAGCATTGGCATATATAAAATTAACCTTTTGAAAAGTTAAGAACTACATGTATGATGGCGGTTTTTTGAAGTGGCTTTTGTTCTGAGAGCAGAGTTTCTCTAAAAAGCAGGACCTGTGCGCCAGGACAGAGCTACAATGCTAATGGCTCCTGTCCAGTTGCCATCCTGGGGATTGCCTCAGAAACCAGACAAAAGACAGCTTTTGTGGCGCCCCCCCATTTTCCAAACTTCTGTGGCTCCTCCTCTCATCTCACTTTGTCTCTTGACTATAGTAACATCACTTTGTGGTTCCAAGGGTTTCTGTTTTTTTTATTTTTATTTTTATTTTTTTGTTGGCAGGCATCCTGAGCCATGGTGGTTGGGGGTGGAGGGAGGGTGTTGTTTGTTTTAAAATAGTGAGTCACTTTAGGTTATTGGTACTCTCGCAGACTGACTTACTCAGATTTCCAGAGAGCTTTGCAAAGCAATAATAACCCAAGAGTCCCTTTACCAAAGATTAAAAAAGCAAAACTCACAGAGTGTAAAATTTGATAACAGTATCAATTTACTTTTGTTTTTCTATTGTGATTTCCATTCTCTCGTGCTTCTGCTTTTTTCTTGCTGGGCAAGAGTATAACCTACAAGTCCTCGTTCTATAACATCTGGGGCAATTAAATTGCTTACCTAGAATCACAGAACTTGATTGACTGTACTTCTACAGTTACTTTATTACAAATCCCTTTATAACATGTGGCTCAATGTTTAAATAATAGCACTTATGCTCATTTATAAGTGTTTAAGAATTTACACACTCTTGATGTCATTTGTTCTCACAATGGAAACCACAGAACCTTAGTCCTGGAGGAAAATTTCACAGTCCAGTCCACTTGATATTGCGTCCCTGGGAGCAGATTTTAAGCCTAAAAATAAAGAAGCTTTTTTGGAAGGGCAGCACATTCATTGTACTGAGTCATTTGAACCTCCCATGAATGAGTTTATCAGTACCTTTCTGAGAGCAAATTTTTATGGTGGAAGATGGCAAAGATAGGAGGACAGGGAAAAGTGTAATAATGCCAAGGGATGTGCAAAGGCATTGAAGAAATGTCACCTGCTTTTCACCAGTTCTTCCTGTAGCAGCCCTACTGCCGCTGTGATGACTCCACCCAACACAGTGCAAACAGTTATTAACTGGTGTCTGTCAATCATCATTCCCCCAGTGACTACTGCAGAAATGACCTCTGAATTTCTGACTGGCATAATCATTATTTTGCAGCCCAAATGGCATGCACCCTTGGCTGTAGGGGAGTAACTGCTTCCTGGTTATCATTGTTCCTTTTTTACTTAGCATGGTCATCCATAGCCATCCATCACCCTCTCCTGTAAGAGCCAGTGAACAGATTTGCTCTGTTGCTGTAGCCAGCAGGACCCAACCAGGCTGCCAAGTAGGAAGGGCAGATGCTCTGTGGGACACAGGAAGCCGTCCTATAGGCTGGGTCCTGCACAGGTACACATGCCTAAGCAGCCTTGCCATCCAGGCCATACTGATCTAGCAAACCACATGCCCTGTGCTTTTTTTTTTTTCTGATTTGCATAAGCCTTTTGTCATATGGCAAGACCTGCATCTGTGAAATATCATCCACCAAAGATGCCTTTTTGCAAAAGTCAACTTGTACAAGGGAAGTCAACTTTTAGGGAAGGACTGGAGACTCGAGATCTTGCAAACCACAGGCCTTAGAGCCATTCCACACTGCATGCATCTGGTGATTCTTTCAAGGATTTAGGGGTTCTAGTTCTGTAAGTGAGACCTCATGTGCTTGCTCTCTCCTCTTTTTCTTTCTTTTTCTCTTCCTCCCTCCTTGCCTTCCTTGTTTTCTCTCTTTCTCCCTCTCTCCACCTCTCTCTCCCCTCTGGCTTTTCCTCCTTTCCTTTCTTCCTCCCTTCCTCCTGCTTTTCCATTTCTTTGATTCTGGAAAACTATTAACTATAGCCAAAGAAAGAGAAAACATGGCAAGCTTTTGCATTTATAAAGTTAGCCTCTCAGAGACCTCTCATGTGAGCCCTCAGCTACCATGTGACCTCATAGGGAGCACTTTGGCAATCAAAAAGTGCCTCACAGGCACTTCTCCCCTGGTTGGGAGCCTGAGGTCATAAAGTTGAAGTCTGAGCCCTGTGTCTGAGTCCACATTTCTGGTATTCGCTTAGTCCTTTGCAGGCACTGCCCCCAGACCTCTACACCCACCTCTTTAACAAAGGCAAAACAAGGACACTTTTATCCTCCCTCAAATCTTCTCCCTGTCTTGGGACTGCACTGCTCGTCGGCTGCTGGGATGATTAATTTCTTTGTCATTCTCTTACCCCATTCTGCATATCCAGTTGCTCTAGCTGCCTCTGTGCATTCAGGACAGGACAGAGCTAGTGTGGTGTTTTTATGAGACTCACTTGCACTGGATCAGTTCCAGCCTGGAAGACCAAGATGGGCCGGGGAAGATAAGGATAGATAGAAGAGAGACCATCTCTCTAACTCCCAGAAACAGAAGATAAAAATGCCTCTTTCCCCTTTTGCTGTAACCTTTGATTGCGAAAGTATTTGATGCGATGCAGCTGTTGGACTAAGTCACACTTCTTTCCATTAGGTCCTCCCTCCAACCCATATGTCTAGGGAATGAAAATGTGCTAATACTTCCCTTCTCACTTTGCAGCTTTCTACTTCTAGACTTGCGTTCCATTTGGGAGGACTCTGAATTCTTGAAATAAAACAGTAACTTGGCAGGCATCCAGACAAAAGATTCAACCACTCCCTGGGCTTCAGTGGGTGAGGGAGTAGAAAGGATTGGTGAGTTCAGCATGCAAGATGAAGAAAAGGTCCTTGTTTGATGGCACGTCATCTGCTCACTGACTGTTTCATTCAGAAATTCTTTATGAAATCCTGAGGGTTGAGCGCTCTCCCTATATCCTCAAGGCTTGGCTAAAATAATAAAGGATGGGATAATCTCTAAATTTGGGAAAGTGATTGCTATCAGGAAGGAGGAATGCATTTAAGAAGGTCTGTTTTTAAAGGTTGTAAGTAATGAGATAGAATTAAGAAAGGGAACTTAAGAGGAATTTGAAGTCGACCTGAGAAAGGGGAAATTTGAGGAATGCTAAGAAAGAAAATTAGGAATAATTCCTTGGGAACGGAAGATCCACCAAGGGGCTTCTGTTTTGCACGACCTTAACTGCCGCCTTCTGAAACTGCCTGAAATCGTGAGCAGGAGCAAGCTTCTGCCTCAGAGGGAGAAAAGTATCCCATATGCCAAATAGAACAAATTCCCAAGCTCTCTGTTTCCTTCTCACAGGGTTTAGGGAGGGTATGCAGGTCAACGAGACCCTTTCTGAGCCCAGGGTCTGATTTTCTTCTTGGAATCACCTGATCCCCACACCCTACCCTCTCCCCTTTGCCCTCAGCTCCATTTTGCCACCTCTGCCTATCACCAGCAGCCCAAGAAGAATCAGCCAGGCACAAAAAATATCCACACACACACACACACACACACATACACCCTATCCTCCATGGACTTTTTATCCTGGCTCCCAAGGAAGCTGTGGCCTTGTTCCAACAGGAGAGTTCTTTGTGAAGAAACAAAGGAGCCAGAGCTAGGCCAGGATGGAAGCTCTGCAGGCCCCTCAACCAGGCCCTTTGGATCCACAGGACAAGGGGGGAGGGGGGACAAAAGTTGTTGTGACTGAAGGGAAATGAGTCAAGAGAAGAAATGCCCCGATTTAATTTTTGTGGACAAAGATGTGAATGGGCCTGCCAGACCACAAAATAACACCCCGACCAACTAACCTACTTTAAACTTCTGAGGAAAAGGCCGTTGGGAAAAGGCACTTGAAAACCAGGATTTTGGGTCCAGGAAGGTCTGAGTCTAATGACCAAAAACCAGATGCCTCTGCTCCTTCCTGCAAATCTATACTTTGCTTGTCTATAAAAAAGGAGACAGACATTCCGATGGAATGGTGGGAGGGGTGCTGGCTGGTCTGGAGGAGCCTTTGCCTTGTTGGACAAAGAGAGGGACATTATGAGTGGAAGAGCAGAGGCATCTGAGTTAGGCTGGCTCTGCAATGTGCCGGCAAGAAAATCCCTATGGTTTCCTCTGAAAAGTCACCGTGTGCTAAATCTAGTCACCAGTGCAGGAATTCACTTCCAGGGAAGCCAAGGTTGTAAAGAGGGCCAGACATGGCCCTGCCCTTCAGCCCACAGAAATCTGGGAAGACCCATCTTCCAGCAACCCAAGTGTCCATGAAGGGACCCGACTCTGTCTGGTCTCTCCAGACAGACAGAGGAGGAAATTCTGATGCACACAACAACATGGATGAACCTGAGGACACTTTGCTTAAGTAAAGCAAGCTAGTCACGAAAGGGCAACAGTTGAGATTCCACTAATATAAGAACCCAAATAGTCAAACCCATGGAGACAGAAGGTAGAATGGGTTTTCCCGGGAAATGGACTTAGTGTTTAATGGAGACAGAGTTTCAGCGGGGGAGGATAAAGTTCTGTGGCTGGGTGTCGGCGATGGTGGCACAACAAGTATATGTACTTAGTGCCACTGAGCTGTACACTTAGCAATGTTAAGGTGGTAAATTTTGTGGTATGTGTATTTCATTACAATCAAAAATAAATATAAAAAATCATGTTCCAGACACTTGTAACATTTCCTGTGGTAGAAGCTACTGCTGGAGGGACCTGGCCTCAATATAAATTTGCAGGTCCTTGAATTTTGTCATAATCTTTGACTGTTCACATTACATGACTTAAGTTTTTTTTCCCTTTTCTTCCAGAATTAAAGGGACACTTTGAAGAAATGATGAACAAAATGAAGAGGCAGCTGTGGTGTGTACTGCTGCTTTGTGGGGCAGCCTTCACTTTGCCCAGACAGGTGGGTGTGCCCCATCTCTTTCAGATGTTCCTCCATGTGCCAGAGGCCCCGAGGGCAGATGGTATCGAGCTGAGAGGGTCAGCAGGGCCACCAAACCCACATGTGTGCACTCCCCTGTGTGGAGGTTGCCCAGGAGTTAGGTTGCCAGCAGTCCCCCTAGACCCTTATTCTGACTTAAGTAAACAGTTAATCCCACTCCCTACCCCTGACTGCTCCTTTGGAGCTCTTTTTAAAGAATGTGGTTGAATTCATCCATAAGGTACTTATAAAAGACGATGCACGTGCCATACATGAGCCATGGAAGTGGGCAAGGTGCCCTCACAGTCCAGTTGGTGCTGCTCACAGTGCAGTTGGGCCAGAAGCTCTACAACACACGTGATCTCTGAAAGTGCCCACAACAAAGGGCCATCATAGAAGGCCCAGCAGGCAATAATCAAGCAGTAGGATTTTAGAGAAGGGAGAGTCAGGGATGACTATGTCGAGGAGGCGGGGGCCACCACTACACTTTACAGTATGGTGGCCACTGACCACATGTGGCTGTTTAATTTCAAAATTATATATAATTGAAAATTCAGTTCGGTCACACTAAACACATTCAAGTGCTCAATGACCATGTGTGGCTACCATATTGGACAGCATGGATATTATACATATCTGTTTAATTCTTTTGGACAGGGGAGAAGAATTAGAATAGGAAGCAGGAAATGCACCTTCCACCTGGGGTCAGTTATCTGAGGGGGAAGCTCTGGGAAGTTGGTGTCTGATGGGCTCTTGGTTGCTTTTGCAGTTTGGTTCCCTTTGTTCTTAAGATACACAGTGTGAGCTGATCCTTTTTCCACCCCTGGTTCATTGCAGGAAATCCGCATGAGATTCATAAGAGGAGCCAGATCTTCCAGAGGTAAGATGAGTCTGAGGTAGGCAGGGCCCAGTGGAGGTGGGAGGCAGCTCAGGGTTTTCAGGTTTAAGGGCTCAAGGCTCTGTTAGAACTGCTAAGTTGAGTCAAGTGAGGGGAAATTTTGTAATGTAAGTCTGTAAAAATGTCTTTGTCACCCCTCCTACACATTCACTGTTCCCTCCAGGAAGCTGAGGCCCGTGAGCCAGTTCTGGGGGAGCAAGAACAGGTGTGCTGTCTCTCAAGGGGGCAGGCTGTCACAAAGGGTGGTGCCTATGAGCTCAATAGTCCAAAATCCTGTGACACAGATGAGAAAATGGAGCCTGGAGAGACTGAGTGGCTTGTCCAGGGCCACACCGTTGCCAGGCCACAGCAATCCTGGACTTTCAGCTTTTCCTGTGCTGGGAACCCCAACCCACTGAGTTCACTCAGCTCCTTCATTACGTAACATCAGTGTGCCTCCTTTCTCTTGGTATAATAGGGATAACTCACCTGGGTTACCTCACAGGAGGCGAGTGGGAGAACTTTCTCTCCATAAGACCACATCTAGCGTTGACTCTTGAAGCCGAAGGAACATTCCCTCAAGAGTCTAAGACGTGAAAATAAATGTCCACAGCAGATTGTCTTGAGTCTGATTTGAAGAAATCTAGCTCCAGTTTCAGGTCCAAAATTAGCAACCCAGGGCCTTCAAATCTCCTCCTTCCCTTGGGGCCTGACCTAGTTCCTCTGGGTCTGGAAGACTTGGCAGCATCCCTTTTAAAGTGGAAGTTTCTCCAGAGTGAGTCACACCTCAATTCTTAGCACCTTCGTTGTTGGCCAGCACAGCATTTCCTGCAAGGGTGCCTAGGCCCTCAGATCCTCAAGGGAAACAACAGTAGCATTTACAATAGGCAGATATTACTTCTTTTAAATAATTAAAAGTTAATTTTTTTAAAAATTGGCATTCTGGTTTGCAAATAGAAAGAGGGAAGGAACATTAATGGAAGTACTTCAACTATTTTTAGTATATGAAAAATACTAAAGAAAGTAGCACATTTTCTGCAGGAACAAAAAAGTCAGTTTCCTGTGTCCCAAATGAAGCATTTCTGTGTAGTAATATTCTGTGGATCAAAAACTCTTGTAGGCCAGTGTATATATTTTTTTATAAAATGAATAATTAAGAGTATTAATTTAAAAACTTATTTTGAAAAACTCTTTTAAAATGAGGACCCATTGGAGAAAAAAATACAATTAAAGGGGTCTTCGGTGACAAAATAGCAGGTATTTGCTGTCTTCCAGCAGAGAGCAAGGAAGGATTCAAGATAGGGTTATGTTGAGAATGAGTGAGGGGATTTCTCACAAGACAGGGCTTCCCGTCAGTCCTTGATGAGACTGCCCTGCAGACACAGCCCATCTCTTGTTATAGGGATCTGCAGAGATGAGAAAACGCAGATGGTTTACCGGCACCAGCAGTCGTGGCTGCGCCCCATGCTCAGAAGCAACCGGGTGGAATACTGCTGGTGCAACGGCGGCCTGTCGCAGTGCCACTCGGTGCCCGTCAAAGGTACGGATGGATGTCAGACTAGGGCTTCGGGCTTCAGGGTCCAGTCTCATGCACACAAACCCTGACTTTCAGGGTCCCTGGCAGAGATTCTGAGAATGTGCTGCTTGGGCGAAGAGGATGGTGCTGACAATGTAGGGCTGGGGGCAGATGCCTTCACCTGCCAAGCTTCTGTTTCTTCACCTGTAAAATGGGGAGAATAATAGCACACACTACCTTGGGCTTTGCTATGAGAATTAAATTAATTCATTTTTGTAAATGGCTTAGAAGAGTGTTTGCATGTAGAAAACATGTTTACATTTTGACTCATAATTTTTAGAGCTACATTGAGAGTATTAAGGGGTTTTCTGGTTTGCATTTAACAGGTTGCAGTGAACCAAGATGCTTCAATGGGGGAACATGTCGGCAGGCCTTGTATTTCTCAGATTTTGTCTGCCAGTGTCCTGAAGGATTTGTTGGAAAACGCTGTGAAATAGGTGAGTGGTCGGTGGGTGGGTGGGAGAGAGGAATGCTTAGGAAATCCTAAGCAGCAAGGACAGGAAGTGTGTGGCCCTAGGGGCAAGGCTAGGGGGTAGTGGTAGGAAAGGATCACCCAAGATGTGGTTAGGGAAACAAAGTGTTGTGTCCAAGGCCCAAAGGCAGGGCCTTCGAGTGAATGTGGATTCAGGCTCTGCTGCCATTCAGCTGGGCGAACCAGTAACCACAGACCTCCTGCATCCCTGTGTCCTCAGCTGTCAACCTGCCTCATCCATTTGGGATGATGATAGAAGCAGGTGTGAGACCTCTTTGGAAAACCAAATGGATCCCCAATTAAGGTGTCATATGTCCTGCTTTCAGATACCCGTGCCACCTGCTACAAGGACCTGGGTGTCACCTATAGGGGCACATGGAGCACAGCAGAAAGTGGGGCTGAGTGTGTCAACTGGAACAGCAGCGTGTTGATCTGGAAACCCTACAACGGGCGGAGGCGAGATGCTGTCAAGTTGGGCCTTGGGAACCACAATTACTGCAGGTGAGACGCCATCTTCCCAACTAAGAGGGTGGCTCTCTGGTGAGAAGCTGCTGCAGAAGCTGTAGGTGAGAAAGTCCTACATCAGCTCAGCCAGGGTTCTCTAGAGAAACAGAATCAATAAGAAAGACATATAAAGAGATATAGTTTAAGGAACTTGTTCACGTAATTGTGGGACTGTTAAGGGGAAATGATGTCCTGAGCTAATTCCATGCAGGCTTTGTGGACCCCACCCCCACTCCAGACCAAAGCCATCAAGACATTGGGAAAGACAAATCCCGTCACCACCAAAGGGAAGGTGGCTGGGACCTGAGGGTGGAGTTGGGCAGCCAGGTTGGGTATAAAAACCAACCACGTGGGCCTTGGGGGGCTCGCTTTCTCGCTCGCCTCCTGGCTTCACGGCTCCTGGCTTGCAGCCAGCTCTCAGGGTGCCATTTTGGGATTCCTGATCAGCGGATCAGGTAGGACTCATTTAAAACTTTGTCTCCCACTTTTCTCCCTGAGCTGTACATTTCCTCATTTCCCCTTCCCTTGTAAATAAACCTTTTATTAACCTTTCGCATGTGCCTGCAGTAGAGCATTGATAAGTCCTTTTAAGCGCGTGGGTAAGGACCCACAGTCAGGCAACCCGTTTTGTATCGGGGCTGCCCTATAACAGTTCTAGTAAGTCTGAAATCTGTAGGCAGGCAGCAAGCTGGAAACTGGAAACTCAGACAGAAGTTTCGAGGCAGAATTTCTTCTTGGCTTTTGCTCTTGAAGACTTCTACTGCTTGAATGAAGCCCACCCACAGTGCTGACTTACACTGCAGGTGGTAACCACATCTATGAAATCATGTCACACCAAGCTCTAGATGAGTGTGTGGTTAAACAACTGGGCACGGTAGCCTAGCCTAGCTGACACAGAAAACCAACCACCACATACCCCCCACCGTCCGCTTGGCACTCACACCAGGCTGGATTCCAGATAAAGGCAATAAGTCACACTTCCACCTAGCATGACACTAGCCCCACCCCCAGAGGAGGAAACAGAATGCGTGGGTATGGGAAAGGCCTCCCTGTAACCTCTCCCTCTCCCGGACGATTTTCCAGAAACCCAGACCAAGACAGGAGGCCCTGGTGCTATGTCTTCAAGGCAGGGAAGTACAGCGAGGAGTTCTGCAGCACGCCCGCCTGCCCCCAAGGTAAGTGAGATTCTGCACCCACCCCCAGGACACCAGTGGGGTGAGACTCTAAGAGGACAAGACTGCTGGTCCTCCTACAACTGAGGAGAGAAAGGAACAGGAAAAGCAGTTATCATTTTGGTTGTGGAGGAAGAACAGTCAAGAGACTAAGGTCTCACCCAGGCTTGACCTTTAACTAACAGTTTGACCTTGAGCTAAACTCTTTATCCAAATGACCCTCATTTTCCTAATCTACAGAGAAGATGGGCGAGGCAGTGGTTTCCAGTCCTTTGAGAATTTTGTGATTTTGGGGTGATTGATGAATCTTTCTCAACTTCCCCTTCCTTCCTCTCCCTCTCAACCCTTAAGGAAATTTCCTAGGCTTAAAAAATACAAAGTTATGGGCCTCCCCTGGTGGCGCAGGCGGTTGAGCACCGTGCTGTGAAGCTGTCCACAGCCTCTGCAGTGCCAGTTTGATCCTGGCCGGCCGGCGAGGGTCCCACATGGTGCAGCAGACCTCTCCTGTCTTGCCCGCTGCTCCTGTCACGCCCGCTGCCCCTCAGCAGTGTATTTCATCAGTCTGCCTGATCTGTTCCCCGCTCTGTCTCTGGTGAATCCTCTCACCCTCCCGCGTATCTGGTCTATACCCTGGTTCTTGTATAAATAAATAAATTAATTTTAAAAAAAATACAAAGTTACACGAATATACTATGAATTCAGTGGTATAATCACAAATCATTTTGTTATCACAATAGTATGAATGCTTTAAAGTTTTAAATTACATATACAAAAATAATATGCATTTAGTCTAAGGCAATGCTGATGTGCCTGTGAAACTGAGGACTCTACATTAACTCAAAAGCATCCTCCCCATCCAGGAACTGGTCTAAATTGGAACTCACTGATCTAGGTGATCTTAAATATCCCTTCGAATTTGCTATTTATGCCTACTGATATACTTTGTCAGTTTCAAATGTGGAAAAAAGAGGGTGAATGGGTGAAATACGCAGTGCTCAAAGGGTCATACTCTATCTTCCTTCCCAGTGCTCTGACAAATCCTTCAGAGCACTGGCAGGCAAATCGAGAAATTAGGTGGTGCTGCCATCTCCCTCCCTTGAAGTACCTTGATTCAGTGCAACCTGTTAAGTACAAACAAGGAAACCCCTAATTACTTCCCAAGCAGCTCCAGAAATAACCACCATTAATTGAACCTAGAACCCTTTCCTGCTGAGCCTGACTATACCCTCAGAGTCTCTCTCAGCATAGCTATCTAGGAAGCCCATGCAGTTAGTGGAAGCTGGCACACCACATGAAAGCTTTATGCCACCCCTCTATAAAAGGGCTTGAAGAGAAAAGGGAGGGAGCCACTTTTCCCGGGGGGCCTGGCTCCTTCACCTACCCCGGCCAGCAGCTCTACCTCAGCCCTGCTGCAAATCCCAGCTTGCCTTTTGCATTTAATTTGTTGTATTTCACTTTGAGATTTCTTTTGTTCCAGAAAATGGGGACTGCTACATCAAAAAAGGATTAACATATCGTGGCACTCATAGCCGTACCGTGTCTGGTGCCTCCTGCCTCAATTGGAATTCCATGATCCTGATGGGCGCGACGTACACAGCGAGGATGACTGATGCCCAGGCACTGGGTCTGGGCAACCACAATTACTGCCGGTGTGTAACACAGTCTGGGAGGTTTGCACTGGGAAGAGGCTGAGATTGGCACATAGGATAGGAGGAGATTTGATGCCTAAAGTTATATGAAAGACCAGTGGGTGGGAAGGAATCGTAGATATTATTCAGTCCAACCTAGTCATTTACTAGGGCAATGCCTACAATGAAAAGCAATATACTCCAGTTTTTCAATCCAAATTCCAAGTTAGAGGTGCTGTCCCCAGCTCCCTAGAACTCTTTTGTTCTGCTCTTACATACACCTTTATTTCTGAGAGTTCTGAGTTTCCTCAGCACAGCTTCCGCAATTTCCTAGCACAACTCACAGTTCCTCCTGACACCCCTGTGAAATGAGAATGTTATACCGCTGATAGAAAAAGTTAATGTTGCTTTCTGATGCTGGGTCTGTGGCAAGGCCACGTCCAGAAATCAGGGTTCCTTCTCCTGGCTCCATGTTTTTACCTGGTTTGTTGAGCCTCCTTCTCCTCTTAAGTGGTTTGTGATGTGATTGAATATGTGACCAAAAACTTTAAACCTGTATCACTAGGAACCCAGATGGGGATGACAGGCCTTGGTGCCACGTGCTGAAGGACCGCAAGCGGACGTGGGAATACTGCGACGTGCCCCAATGCTGTAAGGGCTGACCCTTGCCACCTGCCTTGCCCAGCTTACCTTTGACCATTCCCCCTTCCGCTTCCTCTGTCTTCACAGCTGTCTGCTCAGTCCATGTGGCTGCCGGATTTGGGTGGGAGAGTCTTCCATGACTCAAGCAGTAGTGAGCTGGCCACACTCTGGGGCAGGGAGTGAAGGGGCAGGGCAAAGAAAATGGAGAAAAGCAGACCAATTTCTCTTTGTATTCAGTAGGCTTGAAACTTTTCTCTCTAGATGACTTTATTAATGATGAGGAGGATGGCAGAGGTGAATGTGAAGCGACCATATCTAGCTCAAATGTGTGGCTCCCCAGATAATAAAATTATAGCATTCTCCCAACGATGTGGTGGAAGGTAGTCTTCCCACCTCCATTGACTGGCTTAGGAAGTATGCTTTTAGAAGTCACGTGACCTGCCCTAGCTTCTTGGGCTCTAAGCGACAGAGCGAGGATCTGATCTCACCTCATCTGACTCTAAGGCTTGTATGACAGATGCCACAAGAATGGTTCATTCAATGTATTTTTGTTACAATGTTGATAAGGAAAAGAAATTCTGGTTGACATTGAACAAAATGACGTTATTTCAGCAACTGCTTTCTTGAGGTATTCTTTTAAGTAGTTTCCAAGAACTTACTGACAATGACTAGTGAGGACTTCGTGCTTCTACCTGTGACTGCTTGCTTCCTCACAGAAACCATGTATCACAGGGGAACTCAGTTAGTGATGTGGGGTCAGAGTCAGGGAAAATTTTAGTTGGTATACTTTGCTAAAAAGATTAAACTTTTGTTTGGAAGTTGTCTGAGGCTAGGTTATTATTACTCTGTGCCTGTGAACACACAGATCAGTCAGAATATTCCTCAAGGACAGAGTGTAGTTGGGAAGGTAAGACAAAGACTTTCAGTCCCCACCAAGGTTATGGTGGTGAGCCCTAAGAGCAGTACTGGTAGGCTACTCAGAGCCTCCCTGGCTGGAGTGTTAAGAAAGCTAATGAGGGGTAGTCACAATGCTTCATTATTTGTTAAGTCTGGAAGTGGATCCAGGAAAAAACTAGCAGTAATAAATGAAACAGCCAACAGATTTCCAGTTTTCGAGTCAAACCGATCTGGGTTCAAATCCAGGTACCATTAGGACATTGGGCAAAAATTTCTCAGCCTCTGAAGTGCAGTGTTATAAGGGCTAGCGATAATGCAGAGTGCTTGGTGTGTAGTGTGTACTCAAAAATTGAAAGTTGTGTGTTTTTTTTATTGCCATGGAGACTATTAAATCACTCTGTACCAAACTTACAGTATAGTGAACCTGTAGAACCTTGGGGTTCCAAGAGAAGAAGCCAAGAATCTCACCTTAGGGCCACCTGCTGATCTCCCTTCTTTGTCCCTTCCTTTCCCAGCCACCTGTGGCCTGAGAAAGTACAAGCAACCCCAGTTCCGCATTAAAGGAGGACTCTTCACAGACATCACCTCTCATCCATGGCAGGCCGCCATCTTTGTCAAGAACAAGAGGGGGGCAGAATACAAGCTTTTGTGCGGGGGTATGCTGATCAGCTCCTGCTGGGTCCTGTCTGCTGCCCACTGCTTCCAGGAGAGGTAGGCACTTAGAAAACCCAGTAGGTTTTTCTACTCCCTAAGGCCTTGAAACCAGGCCTCGTAGAGGAAATCTTACACTAAGTAGAGCTTCCTAAGGCTTTTTCTCCATTAGGTATCTTTCTCAGAACCTTAAAGTGATCTTGGGCAGAACATACCGTTTGATCCCTGGAGAGGAGGAGCAGAAATTCGAAGTAGAAAAGTACATCATCCATAACAAATTTGATGATGACACTTACGACAATGACATTGGTAAGATGTCTTGTTCTCCCTGCTCCTTTGCCAATTCCAGATGGCACAACACATATCCATACATGTGCTCTCAAACCGTCACCCTCTGCTTCACCTTCCTCTTGAAAATGAGAAACAGCCTTTCACGCAAGTCTCAATCTCTTCCTGATTCTTCCTCCTAGCCCTGCTGCGGCTGAGATCGGAGTCACCCCACTGTGCCGAGGAGAGTGACACTGTCCGCACCATCTGTCTCCCGGAAGCCAACCTGCAGTTGCCTGACTGGACAGAATGCGAGCTTTCTGGCTACGGCAAGCATGAGGCGTGTAAGTGGAAGGAAGCTGGGCCCCATCCTGTCTGTCTGCAAACAGTAGGGGATGCAGATGTTGACCAGATAGAAAAAGTGGTCATGAGTGTGGGTCTGGCTCCAGTCCAGGCACTGACACAGTGGAAATGTAGGCAGGTCCCCTGTCTAGTGAGAGCCATCTTCTGCCGTCCCTACCTTACAGGAGTGCCCTGCAGATCAGGAGAAGTCTGAATAGTGCAAGTGCTTTGAAGAGTTTTAGGTTTCAAGGAGGTTCTGCTATTAGGTGGTGTATAGTAGTTAAGCATATGGGGTCCTGGATTCTTCAGTTGTGTAGACCTGAGCTCAAGCCCTACAGCTGTGACTTGCTGACAGCATGACCCAGGGCTTAGATTTTTATTTTACAATGCTCCAAGCCTCAGTTTCCTCATTGGTAAACTGGGGATAGAATTAGCTACCTCCTTAGATTATAAGGATTAAATTAAATATTAGCTTAAACCTGCAGTTCTCAGTTGGGGTAATTTTGACCCCCAGGAGACACTTGACAATGTCTAGAGGCATTTTTGATTGTTTTAAGTCAGGGTGGAAGTATATATTGGCATTCAGTGAGTGGAAGCTAGGGATGCTGGCAAACAATATAATGCACAGGATAACCCCCAACCCCATTATCTGGTCTGAATAGTGGTCTCAATAGTGCTGCTATTGAGAAATCCTGGTTGAAACTCAATAAATAAAATATTGGAAATTTTATAAGATTTAACCTAATATGTATAAAGGCTTGAAAAATACTAGTAATGGGGAAATTTTATTTTCTCCTTCCAAAATGGTTACAGATAACTTTGCCTGAAATCATTAGACCTTTCCCGCTTCTCTTTCAGCTTCTCTTGACTATTCTGAGCGCCTGAAGGAGGCACATGTCAGGCTGTACCCCGCCAGCCGCTGCACATCGCAGCATTTGCTTAACAAAACTGTCACAAACAACATGCTGTGTGCGGGGGACACACGAAGTGGAGGGGACCAAGTCAACCTGCACGATGCCTGCCAGGTAAACAGGAGCACTCTTCATACTCTGAACCCGAGGGTTTGGCCAACAGGTTCTTCTTAACCAAGGTAATCAGAGCCAGAATGGAGTGATTCATCTCAGTGAGGCATTAGGGATTCTAGATGAGGGCCTCACAGAATAAAGTAATTGGAGACAGATCAAAGTTACCCAAACTTCAGAAATCTAACCTGCAGAAAATTCCCCAGTATCTGCACAGGAAACTCCACCTGGTACAGGATTTCCTGTAAGGCCAGGTGATTGATTGGTTCTTGAAGTGATGGATAAAGAAATACAGATGAAGAAATTCTTGATTTCTGCAGATGCTGGAGAATTGGACTGTTTTGTAGAAGGATTTGTGAGAAATAGGTTTTAAAAAACGCCTATTCAGGCCTTATGCCCTGGAAAGCAAGCTATTTCAGACTCTGTGTCGGAATCCTTATCAGAGTTAGTACTTAATCTTTCATGATAACAAGACTCTGGATATGAGACACAGACCAAGAGGCTTAGGTATTGGGACCTAAATATAGCCAAGGAACTCTTAATGATCAGACAGTTTCATGACTACAGTCTCATCACTGAGGAGACTGGGGAGAGAAGGGAATACAAAGAGAATTAAGGACAGGCTTTCGTATGTAAGACCTTGTAGATTTTGTTCTTACAAGGTAATCATATCAGCATTCCCCGCCCACCCCTTGGGTCCTTGATTTCTTTTTGATGATTTCCTCAGAAACCTCAATCGTGTCATCTAACTTCATAGCCGTAAAAAAAAGGGTGTATACAAAGTGAAACCACTGTCTATATAAGGTGCAAGTTAAAAATAAAAACAAAACATTCTTTGGATTCAATAAGACAATGACAGTTGATAGCAGCTAAAAAGTCACTAAATGTCATATACTATTCTCAGCGGCTTTTCATGCTTTCTCCCAAGTAATTCCCCTGACAACTAAATACTGAAGTTAGCCTATGGTGACACTGCAAATAAGTGGTAGAGTTAAAACCAGAGTAGAGGCCTGAAATGTCTCAGCAGTTATCTCAATGCTGCTTGAGATAAAATGTTTCCTCTCTGAACTAAGCACTTTGAAGAAACGTAATATCAACACTACTATATTAACACAAACATCACCCTCAAATACTCTGTACCTGTTGTAACAGCTAACCTGCTCTCTCTTTCACAGGGTGACTCAGGAGGCCCCTTGGTGTGTATGAAGGACAACCACATGGTTTTGGTTGGTATCATTAGCTGGGGCCTTGGCTGTGGGCAGAAGGACGTTCCAGGTGTATACACTAAGGTAGCTAATTACCTCGATTGGATTCAATACAATATGCGATCATAACTATGAACACCCAATTCCTGGGCATCCCTAGGGACCCTGACCCTGCCTGCCTCCTCTTCAGAAGACATTCCAAGGCAGCGTGCTTCTTTTACACAGATTTCTCCATGAGCCATCACACAGTACAAGGCAGGACAGAATCAGTGGGAGAGGGCAGAAGATATATTTTCACAGATACTTCCCATTTTGGAAGCTTTCAGGGCTTGAGGTGTGAATTCAGATTAGCATGAGATAGTCATGTTAATCCCTCTGAACACTGCTGTCCAGGACTGACTAGAGGTAGGAGGCCAACCTCCCTGTGGAAATGGAGCCATATAGATAAAAGCATGTCTCCATAGTAAAAATTAACTAGCTCTTTCAAGAAAGAAGGATTGCATTAGAAACAGTGTCTATTTATGATCGCAAGGAAGCAGAGGCCTCCTATTAAGGGAGGGCTGGCTGGCCAGCTCATTTTCCTCAAAATCAACCTTTAAATCAAGTATGTGGATTCCCCTTTCTCTGTAACTGTTAGGAGGAATTCCTATTGTGTACAGTGTAAATCTTTTTCCTTTAAAACTTTATAATAGAACTGTATCATTGTAGTAGCTGGTATACTAGGTTTTAGTATATTTTTAGCAATCCATTTTTGTTTTTTCTTTCTGTTGTCACAATGCTGTATTATACTGTCCTGAAATAATAAATTCAGATATATTTTTCACAAATCAGAGTGGATTTACTCATATAATATCCCACATTTTAAAAATCATTTGAAATATTTTCTTTCAATGACACAATGTATATTGGTACTTGCTGCACAGAAGGCAAAGTGTTAGGTGCTGTGGGACTAAAAGACGGGGAGGAGGTGTCCTTGGTTTGACAAGAAAATGAGGTATTTATAAAGAAATAATAAGGTAGTGCAGAAATGGACCACAAAATGCCAGAAATTTTCACTGGAATTCATTTGCAGAAGGGATTAGAAAATTCTAAGGAAAAATAGAATTAAGTGGGGTCTTCAATATTGGGCGAGATTTGAACTGGTGGAGAGCTCTGGAAAAGGCATTCTTCAGGCAAGGAATACCACTGCATGCGTGAAAACATGAAGATCCGGAGAGCAAAAAGGACATTAGGAATATGGGAGGAATGGCAAGATTAAGTTTATCTGAAGTTCATGAAGAAGAATGAAGCATGGGAGGAATTTAGATTATGGGGCTTTGAATGACAGAGTTTGGACTTAATTTTGTAGGCAATAGGAGCCGGTGAGGTTTTTGCTTGAGAGAGTGATGACCTGAGCTAGCTGTAGGAAAAATTAACTCTATGGAGGCTCGAAGGAGAGCAGACACTGGGTAGGAAGTGAGACAGGGCAAGCTAGGGTTATTAGGCAGTTTTAGGGATAGTGCAGGAGGGGACCTCTGAAAAATTTAGGGAGGCTTCAGAGATAAGGACAAGCAAGGGAAAGTAACCCATTCCATCAGGAAAAACAAACACGCCAGGACCAAGGACAACATTGTTAATGCTGGTCCTGGTTTCCTTCAGGTGGTAAAGGGAGGCGGAGATTGGGGAAATGGAGAGTGGTTTAATTTATGGTCACATTAGAAGGGCAGCTGTTTAACTTCAATGCAGGGATGCCCATCCAGAGGACTGGGCCATAAATTTAAAGATGCAACAAATGGGGAAAGAGAAAGCTGTTAGATAAGGAACGTGAAGATCCCCACTCAGTAGCAAATTAAGTGAGACAGCCGAGAACTAACCAATCACAAAGAAACTGGGGCAGCTTTAGAATAAAGAGGGAAAAAAGGTATATATTCCCTAAGACACGACTCTACTTTGGCTTCCTTGCCCCTCCCAGGCCTGGTTCCCTGGCCTGGGAGTCCCACTTTATTTCTGCTCTTTTTCTCCTCAATAAACTTTTTCTTCTAAACAAACTGCCTCTTTTCACTTGCTTGCTTGCCTGAGCGTCTGCGAAGTTCCTGCTGTGGCTTCGTGAGACACCAACCCGTGGGGGGTCTAGAGGCTGGGGCTCAGCGCTGCCCTGCAGCCTGAAATCCGATCCTGGCTGGGAGACTAGGCCTGACAATTCCGGTATCAGAAGGACAGTAATGGTGATAGTATCAAGGAGCAACTAGGGGATAAGAGAAGCTACACATGACCTGGTTAATCTAGCAACATCCCCAATTGTTGTTTCATACTAGAAGCTATTATTTGGGCTATTTTCTTCCTGCCCATCAGAAAGAATGAATGCCCAGAACAGTCCCCACAAATGTTACTTAAGCAAAACTGCTTTGGATTTCTCCTGAACTACGTACTTGTTTTACTACTCTGGAGACACAACCCATATTCCTGCTGCCTCCTGACAATTTTGTTACCACTGACACCCCAGATCCAAGAATAAATCTGATGATGTAAAGCTTACTATTAGATACATGCTGACAGTTTCTTGGAGGAGAAAAATGTTAGTAGTTGTCTTTATCTTGAGATTGTCAGAATTGCTCAGTTCTTAGCGGTTCTTAAGACAATAGCAGTTTCAACTGACAAAAGAGATTATCTAAGAGCTAGAATAGGAAGAGGGTTGGTGGGGGAGGGGAAGAAGGGAAACCAACTTCCTGAAATGCTGAAGCCCCTGGATTGATTAAATAAATACAGATCAGAGAAACTTAAGCCACTAATTTCTTGACTTGAGTTGCTCTCTTACAAGTTCCCTGGTGCAAACGGCAGGCCTACTTCAGCTAGATATAGGTCTCAGCTGTTTCTGAGAAACAGCCTGGAGAGCAGTAAGTTAGAATCCCAGCTATTGCATCTTTGGCAGGAATTCAGCTGGGTTCATCTCCTCCCCCTTGCAAGACAAGCTTTTCTTCAGATAGTTGGATTAATGAAATGAACTGAAGCAGTAAGGCCTCCTGGGATGGAAATGCAAAGTTAAAAGATCCCAGCATTCCTCTGAGTGAAGCCCTGGAGACCGCAGACTGAAAGAAGACAATTGCTCAGAAGAGCCCACTGACTGACAGAGCTGCAGGGTCAAGTCCCGACCCCCACCCCCACCCCGAAACAGATTCATTTGAATTAGAATAAAATACACTCAAAGAGCAACACTGCATTACCCAGTGTGGGGGAGGAAATTCAGGATAAAATGTCTGGAACTTGCCAGAGGAAGGCAGGGAATATCAGGAAAGTTAAATAGTATTTTCTCACAATCCCCTGCTGGTCAATAAAAACCAGATACTAATCAATCCAAAGAATAAGACTCTCAGGTAATTGTGCTATTAGTTTTAATAGATAAAGACTTAATGGAACTCATATGATTGATATGCTACCCTTCCAGAGCCTCAAGCTTTAATCTGGTTGTCAAAACAGCCTCATGAATTTTTGGTTCCACACTTAATTTTAAAAGTCATAGACACTCAATCCACAGTACTTGGGGTCTTGGGAAAAGTTTGAGTGTTTCAAATTCAATTTCCTTTCTAAAATTCTAACAATTAAAAAATTAATCTCATTGCTGTCACTGAGTCGCCACCTACTGGTAATAGAAGAAAATACAATAAATTTTATCTGGTTACACCATGATGCCACCAAACAGCTGATCAAGGGAAAAAGAAATATTAATAATGATAAGATAAATAATATCTACCATATTTATGGTTTAGATATGATTTGTAAACAGAAAGAAATCTTAATATCTTCCTGGCTATGGGACATTTACAACAGAAAGAAATTAGCACAGGAAAGGGATAATAACCAGATTCCAATTGTTGATTGTCTTATCTTCCAAGCAAGCTCTACAACTAAGATATCTAGGACCCTGAAGCCTAGATATTACAGATAAATAACCTGATTAAAAAAGTGAATGGGGAAACTACTAAAACAGACATTAATAGTTTTAATGGTTTCGTCTCTTAATCAGCAGGGAAAAAGAATTTGATTAGGACTTTTGTTCTTCAACTTTAAAAATGACAGTAACACCAACATCCCCTGTCCTTCAGAGGTGACTAGAAAAATCCAACTAAACATATGGCTGCTGATTAAAAAGTACAAAAGTAGTAAGAACTTCCTGACTGGATTTATTTCTTACTGCTTCTGCTGAGGCATGTATGGCATAGCATTATCTTAAGTCCTAGTAACAAAATACTTAGGGCATAGGAGACTGATAAAATTCAACTTTATTAAGATTTAAACAGAGAAGGTACTTCTGCACACATCAAGCACATATGCAATTGAACAGCTCGACAGAGACACCTGGTATTACTTATGCTAACACACCTCTGGGTGACAGAAAGACATTCTGTGTTCCAGAATGTAGGTGAGATGATAGTTACTTCACATGCTAAGGCCTGCAGGTCACATACCCTAGATACTTTATTTCTCCTTAAGTTTTTCTCTTGAAATTAGGACGAGCGGCCCTGAAGAAAATAAAACAGCACTTATAAATCTAAAAAAAGTCAGGGACCAAGGTTGTTTCCTGTGACCTAAGAAATTTTAAAATCCTTCAGAGCCTTCAGGTGAAGTAATACCAAGTATTCAGAACCACAGAGATGGCTTCCTACACCATGGCAGGCATATATACGGGATGTTGTAATCCAGGACAATATCTGGAATGATAGATTGTAAAACACACTTGGTTGTATACAGCACAATTTATTCCAGAGAGAACCACAAAGCAACATTACTCTGTAGTAAAAACAAGTCCAGGAAGTAAGAAGATAAAACTAGCACAAAAATTGCTTAAGTCTTTCAAAACAAGACTTTGGAGAAAAACTGTAGGGTTTGGAGAGCATGGTTTCATTTTTCTCCATGCATGAAGCAGAGCACAATATCACTCAAGTTATGTATTTTTTAAAAACCTGTCATATTTAAATCAGTAATAGACACACTGAAGTAGGATAGAAATTACCCACTGGGGAAGACTGAGGTGCTCCTTCAGTAGCCATCTTTCTTAAACTGCGTTATGTAAAAGCAACACGGCCCTTCTTTCTACGTTAGTTTTACATAGATTTAAGGGAATTTTTTTTTGTCTTCAAACAAAAACAGACGGATAAGTACCTATTATTAATAAATGTAGTCTAGAGCACAAAACAAAAGACTGAGGAAATAACTTTACTGTGCTCAGTACCTTCAAGGATCAACCATACCCTCAATGGTTACTGATGGGGAAGTTTGAGACAGGAAGGCGTAGACTCCGTAGCAGTCCAGCACTGGCAAATGCAAATAAGGAATCAACAGTTACAGTTGGGGTACACCTTCATGACGAATGAGGTGGCCAGCCTTCTACACTCCAACACTATGACATATAAAATCTGGCTGCCCTTGGGGGTACGGGATTGGCTTTTCTGAAATGCTCTTCAGTACAAGGCTGATGCATCCTGTAAAGTGAATAGGATTGTTTTGGTTTGAGGAAAAGAGGCATTTCAGGCAACCACCACCAGGAGGAGGGCAGGTCACCCTCTCACTGAAGATGACAGACAAGTGCTAAAGGCGAGAAGCAATTTATTATCTGAAAACTGCTCAGATATCGTCAGTTCTTAAGGGAAAATCGGATTCTACTGTGGTTTTCGTGTCAATAGTTAAACAGTGGACTTGAATTTAAGAAGTCTCCAGTTCATTTCCTGAAGTACAAATTTATATAACATACACATTATGAAAGCAGAGGATCAGAAAGAAACTAACTCATCTCTGTCCTTCCCCTTCCTCCGCGTGTAGCTTGACCACTTGCCACTTTCACTTTACTGCTTTAATACTCAGCTTCCTCTTTCTTCCCTCACGAATCAGACTCTTTCCCGGCCTTTCCTTAACTAACATTCATTTTTCTTCCAAGCTTCCTTTCTTTCTAATCTTTTTTTCCACCTTAGAAAACAAAAACAAAAAAGTCTTTCATTGGCTTTAGATAATTAAAGCCAAGCAAGTAACAAATGCTAGTCCCTTTCTATGGTAACCACATTAGAACGAGTTAAATATGGTATCAAGTATCTCCACCCTCCATTGCACATCTCTTCTTTGAGAACTGAGTTGGTGCTGATTGTGTTTCAGTTCTGTCCGGTTCTCCCTGGCGACCCTTTCTCCCTTGATTAGTTCCATGGCACTGAAGGCTAAGGAAAATAGGGAGCGGGTGGGTCCAGGAGGGGACTGACCTAGGAGACAGGCTGCTTTTTTTTTTTTTTTTACTTTTAGACAAGTAAGAAATGAAAAAGTGTTCGTGACTTCTCCTTTTGTAAACTTTCTTTTCAGGTTCGAACTTGAAATTTCCCAGCTTTGGTCATGTATTTTATGCCCTTAAAGGGTTTGTACTTTTCTCCATACATATCCAGACGATTCACTTTGAGTCCTGGAAGGAAGGGACAATAAGACATGATCATTACTCAAAAGAAGCAAGCAGCATAATTATTCAAATTCATTTCAATTCAGAGAGGGATAGAGTATTACTGTAACAATGTACCAGCAAACTACTTTCACTCATTTATCTCATTTATATGCAGCTGGGAGATTCTTTTCTCCTTGTATGTACATTGATAGAAAATAGTGCTAACAAGTTATACTTTTAGAAGACCTACTGCTAAAGTCGAAAGGGCAGAAAATTCAATACAGACTGATAAGGGAAAAGGAAAAAATAAGATAAGTGGCTGTTTTTCTCAAGGTACTGGACTGAACACATGAATTAATAACAAAATAGTGAAGGAAAAATAAGTGAATGAATAATGAAAACTAATTAATAAATGAAAAAGATAAATGAATGCTTCCTAAATATCCTTGCTGTACTAAGCAAACAATATTTTATGCTGTATAAGCTTTCACCATTACTAAGTATTTTAAGATGAAAGAATTTATACTTTAAATGAATTATAATCACTAAAGCTAGACAAAATAATAGCTGTAGCTAAACATAAGAACTTCATATAAAGCTAAAGCCATTCATCTACCTTACAGGATTGTTATAAGGATTAAATAAGAAAACAGAAGAGCTGAAACTGTCTGGCACATAGTAAATCCCAGTAAATAATGATTATTATTATTCCTGACATCCTAGGGTAGGGGTAGACTATAATGGACTGACCTGATAGACTCAATAGTTCCAAATGATGATAAAAGCAAACATAAAAGTCTTCTAAAACTGTGGTGAAGAAGGGGAAATTATTCTTTTCAGTTACTAGTTGAGAATGCAGAAGTGTTCCCATACGGAAAACCTTGGGAGCCACAAATTAACAACCCAAGGATGACTCAACAACTGCCTGTGAACATTTCTACCAACATTCTTTCTTAAATGCTTTTACTCAGGTCACTTAAGGCGATTTCAAAGCAAGGATTACAAACTTCCTCCACAATGTGCCAGGAAAGATTTTACTGAAGATTACATATCAGGCAATGAAACCAAACTTCATGTGGTACAAAGGGAGCCACCACATGGCTTTCTCATGTCTGTGCCTTTTCTGTTCTCTTCAAAGCCACCTACACTATGGGAGACTTACCAGAAATGGCCAGCTGCTGGATCTTAAACTGCAGGTTAATTGTGGGGTTCTCATCTGGTTTGGAAGCGCCAGCCTGAAGACTCATAGTGCCCTTCAAATTTGGTAGCTTTTGGGGATTTATTTTTCCTACATCCCAAGACAGCATCTTCAAAGGAAAAAAAAAAAAAAAAAGGAAGAAGAACCCTTCATTTTGAGGTGGCCGAGTTCTAAACTCAGGGAATCTGTTCACAATATTATAAGTTGCCTCCAAGGTATTTCTCAGCAGAGAACCCTTTGTTACCATCAACTATCTCAATGACAAAACAATTTCTTCCTTTAATTAATCCCCCTTTCTACCAAATTATAAAGTTTATATTTTTAACTTCCGCAGAGTCATTTCTACTTAACACTGGCAATTCACACATCCTTCTTGGATTATACTAAGCAAAGTAAGTCAGAAGGAAAAAGGTAAATATTGGATGGTTTCACTTACATGTGGAATACAGAGAAACAGAACAAAGGGTCAGAAAAAAGACATAACTTGCAAGCTGTTCATAGATCTGAGGCATACAGAGGGGAGGGGGAGGGAGAAAGGTCAAAATGGGGAGGGGAGAGGGGCGGGGAAGAGCATAAGGGACTGTGGTGATCTCACGGGTGCTATGATGGTGGGAGAACTACAGGGACTACACCTGAAAAGACAAATTAAATACTGTACAAAATGATCAACAATGTAAGAAATAAATAAATAAATTTAATAATAATAATAATAATAATAATTAAAAAGTCCTTCTTGTTCTCCTACCTTGGTAACTGGGTCAAATGTGTGTGTCCCCTGAGATGGAGTGAGGCTCATATTCAGGACCCCTTTGGGCATCTGGCTGGTGACAATCACTCCCTCGATGGTCTTCCCCATAGTTTGCTTAGGTCCCACCGTTATTTCAAAGCGTCCAAGTGAACTACTGTCCCGGAAACTGATGCCGTGTTTAACATACACTGGAATTGCCACCAGACTAGAAAAGAGAGACACCAAAAGTCCACTTAATTAATGTAAAGGAAAAATGGCAACATGTACTTTATACTATGCTCTTTTTTGCCTTAGCAGTTTTTCCTCCCAGAACTACCTTTTTTACTACTAATTTTTAAAAGTGAGCCTAGAAAAAAAAAAAAACCTGGTAAACTTTATTTTTTCCTTTTGATAAAGCTAAGATGCTTTATCAAAGCAGCTCTTCTAATAACTCTTCTGGTGACTTTCTGAATAACATGAACACAATGAAAGAGGACACTAAGCCTACTATGAGACTGATATTCTGGACAAAAATTAGGTGACCAATAATTAGTTGCACTTAATTAGTTGCAGTTGGAGAGTAATATTCATAACTCATGGTCTTTGTATAATTTCTTTTTTTTTTTTTTGTATAATTTCTTAAGAGTGTTTTTACCTTTTGTGATCAGACCTCCTCTAGGTCCTTACAGAAGTCCTATGAAGTATGTTGTCATGATTTGACAGCAGAGGAAATAGAGAAGTTACAGAATAAACAGCAATTTTTAACATCTGTTGAACACTTCCTGTGTTTACTCTGTTAAGTGCTTTACCTCTGTTATTTCATTTACTCCTTCCAACAACTACTAAGTAGGGCCTGCTACTGGTTTTATTGATGAAAATTGGAGTCCTTATTCTTAACTGAAATTAAATAACTTGTATCATAAGTAATGATGGGCTTGAAGTCTAAGACAGTTTGATTCCAGAGTCTTTGCTCTCTACGGTATTTTACTAAATTGTTTTATTCCAAATCACACAGGAAGGTACTGGTGCCACTATGTGATTCTTCTGTACCCCTTCAACCACTCATCTCTTACTAAGGGTGTCCAAAATCCCTGAGACTCTATCTTAAAGAAAATGTTCAAGAACCAAAATTGCTGCATTTTATATTTTTTTCATAGCCTAATTTAATGATTTGGGGGGGGGGGTCAATGGGTTGAATAAATATAAGTATATTCAGATTCCAATTTGAGAAAAAAGTTCTTATTTAGACACATTAACAAAAATAGCAGTAAACTTATTAAGCACTTTGTGTTAAGCATTATTTAGTTCCCTTATTTAATTTTCATCATTTTTTTCAATTTTCAGATAAGAAAACAGACACAGAAGGGTTAAACAACTCACCTGGGGTCTTATTCAATTAGTAAGTTTGAAGTTAGAATTTGAACCCAGGTAAATCCAGAGCTAGAGTTCTCATTTGCTATATTGTTTATACACACACACAGACACACACACACACACACACACACACACACTCTCACAGATTCCATTCTTAACGATAAGGGCTGCTTACTTCTGTGCACTGACATGGTAAGAGAGCAGGCGGAAGTTTCCATCAGGAGGAATGAAGGAGAGGATACGTTCAGATTCCCAGCGCTTGAAACGAACACAAGGATGGAAGCTGACATCATCCAACAACCTGGGGTTCTACAGTTACCAGGCAAGGAAAAACAGGAGGAAGGAATTAAACACTGTCATTTCTTTCAGTAGAGTAATTTAGGTACTGCTTTATTAAAACACATACACATATGCACGCTCATGCACACACATACAAATTCCATACTTATAAAAAATTCAAGCATGATATAAGCTCTGTGGCTTAGTTATCTACTCATGTTCCATTCCATTCTCACCACTCTCTTTCCAGAAGGATTTAATTTCACATCCCAAGATCTACATCTCTGGTCCAGAATTTTACCATAAAGGAGAGCGTAAGGTCTGGCATTCCAGTCAGCTTGACACAGGCATCAATCACCCCCTGGATCTCAGCAGTAATTGTGGAACCTGAGCCAGGGATAAAACAACAGGAAGGGAAAAGACTATTGAACACTTTTCTGTCCTTCTCAAGTAACTTAATGTCGCTCTCCCTCCTCTTCTTTTAACCTTCTCTTTTTCTTTTCAACTTATTTTCTTCTTTCCTCTACCCTCGTTCATTGTCTTTCTTCTTACCTGCTCTCCGTCTGTCCAATTTGTCTGTCCAAGCTATTGGGTTGTCAGAAAAGTCAAGACACATATTTGCACAGAAAACAGAAAAAAACATATCATGACTTTTCCAACAACCCAAATATTTGTCCGTCCTTCTAAGCATCTATCAACTGCATATCAAGTATGAGACACTGTGATAAATTAATGGGGGTGGATAAAAGATTAATGAGATAGTAACTAGCCGAAAGGAGTTTTCAATCTAGTACCAGAATCAAACAGAACATCAGGATCTTTTTTTTTTTTTTAAAGATTTATTTGTTTATTTATTTATACAAGAACTGGGCACAGTCAGAAGCCGGGAGGGCGAGAGAATTCACCAGAGCCAGAGCGGGGAGCAGAGCAGGCAGAAGGACTGAAGTACACTGCTGAGGGGAGCAGCGGGCGGCAGGAGAGGTCTTCGTGCCATGTGGGACCCTCCTCTGGTGGCCGGGGAGCAGCCTGGGATCGAACTGGCACTGCAGAGGCTGCGGGCAGCTTCGCAACCCAGCGCTCAACCTCTGCGCCACCGGGGAGGCCCAGAACATCAGGATCTTAACCAATGGTTCAGAAAATTTCATATCAAGAAACTCTCCCCAAGGTCACCGATGAGCTTTGCTGTTAAAACGGAACGGACACTTTTGGTCTTTATACTACAATCTCTCTGCAGCATCTGTCACTATGGATTACTTTTTCCTTTTCAAAATATTCCTTTCTCCTAACCTCTCCTAGTTTTCTTTTTTTCTAGCTCCTCTTCCTTGGTGCCTTCTGTTTCTTTACTCAGCCTTTATTTTATTTTATTTATTTTTTTTAAATAATAAATTTTATTTTTATATTCCCCATACAATTGCAACCCCCCCATTCTGACCCCAATCCCTCCCCTCCCGCCCCCACCCCCCAAAAAGTGTCTCTGGTTCATAGTTTTTTGTTGATTTTGATTTTCACTTTCTTATAGTTATTCATTTTCCTGGTCCCTTATTTAAGTTTTCTAGATTCCTGCTATGAGTGAGACCATCCGGTATTTTTCTTTTTCTTTCTGGCTTATTTCGCTGAGCATGATCCCTTCCAGCGCCATCCATGTTGCTGCAAATTGCATGTTTTACACAGCCTTTAGATGTCAATTTTCCACAGTTCTGAACTTCTTTCACTCAATATTCTCCTTGAAACACTTTACTACTTCCCAAGGCCTCAATTTTCACTTATGGGCAATTATTTTCTAATATTTTTTCCAGTTTAGTCTCACTTCTGCCAATTGGACAACTCCACTTGGACGTCACTGACATCCATGGACATTCAAACGCTGTTCATTCTCAGTACCTGGATCTGCTCCTATTTTCCCTATCTTCATGATGCAATCTATCTTGCTACCCAGGCTAGAAACAAAGATCATCCTTTACTACTTCTTCAGGGCCAACATCTATCTAATCAATGACCAATTCCTCTTTTCCAAGACTTCTATCTCTTAAATCTCCTCCTCCCTCCCCATCCTCACTGGCATTATGGAAATCTATATGTTGTGCCTGCACTTCAGCAATAGCCTCCTGCTTTCCCTACTTGCAGTTTCTTAGCCCATTTCAAGCCATCTTTCACACTAGAGCCAGACTGATAGTTCTAAACTACAAATCTGATCAAGTTACTCCTTAGCTTAAAACTCCTCAATTGCTGTAAACTGTCCTCCCTAAAATGGTATATAATGCTCTTCATGATCTGGCCACTCAATTTTAGTTTTTTGGCCTTTTCACTTTTTCATTGAAGTTAAACTTATATTAAAGTGGAAAAATGAGGCCTCCCTGGTGTTGCAAGGGGTTAAGCACCGCACTATGAAGCAATCCACAGCCTCTGCAGCACAAGTTCGATCCCCGGGCGGCCAGGGAGAAACCCACATGGCACAGCAGAACTCTCCTGTCTCTCCCACTGCTCCCCTCAGCAGTGTATTTCAGTCAGTCTGCCTGTTCTGTTCCCCACTCTGTCTCTGGTGAATCCTCTCACCCCCGACACCTCTGGCCTGCACCACAGCTCTTGTATGCATAAATGAATAAATCTTTTTAAAAAAAATAAAGTGGAAAAATCTTAAATGTACATCTCAATGAATTTTAAAATATGTATATACTTATGCAACCCTCTCTCCCCCAACACCAAAATACAGACTTTTCAGCATCCCCATATGTTCCTCATACCCATTTTAGATGAATACACATGCCTAAAATTCTGACTTCTGTATCCTAGATTAATGCCCCTGCTTTCAAACTTTACACAAAAACAATCACACTATATATAACTTATACATCTGACTTTTTTGCGCAACACTGTGAGATTTATTAATGTTGCTGGGTATAGGGCCTCCCCGGTGGCGCAGCGGTTGAGCACTGGGTTGCGAAGCTGCCCGCAGCTTCTGCAAAGCTGGTTCCATCCCCGGCCACCAGATGAGGGTCCCACATGGCACACAGACCTCTCCTGCCACCCGCTGCTCCCCTCAGCAGTGTACTTTGTCAGTCTGTCTGCTCTGCTCTGCTCTCCGCTCTGGCGCTGGTGAATTCTCTCACCCTCCCACGTTTCTGACTATACCCAGTGCTTGTATAAATAAAATAAAACTTAAAAAAAAAATGTTGGGTATATCAGTAGTTCATTCTTTTTCATTACAGTATTTCATTGTTTCCAAATCTTGGTTATTTTGATTAATACTGCAATGAAATGCAAATGCAGATATCTCTTCAAGATATTTAGTTCATTTCCTTTGGATATATTTACCCAGAAAGGGAATTGCTGGATCATATGGTAGTTCTACTTTTAATTTTTTGAGGAAACTCCATGCTGTTTTCCACAGTGGCTGCACCAATTTACATTCTCATCAACAGTGCACAAGGGTTTCCTTTCTCCACATTCGCAGCAGCATTTATTTTTATCTTTTTGATAAGAGTCATTCTAACAGGTATGGTGGTCTTGATTTGCACTTTCCTGATGATTACTGACATTAAACATCTTTTCATATATAGCTGGCCACTTGTATGTATATCTTCTTTTGAAAAACAGCTGTCATTTAAATAAGTTCTTTTATACTATGGATACTAACTCCCAATCAGCTACACGGTTTGCAAATATTTTCTCCTATTTGTTGGTTGTCACTTGACTCTGTTGACATTTCCTTTGTTGTGAAGCTTTTTAATTTGATGTACTCTCATCTGTTTATTTTTGCTTTTGTTGTCTTTGCTTTTGGTGTTATATCTAACCAATCATTGCACAGACCAGCATGAAGAAGCATTTCCCCTTTATTTTCTTCTAGTACTTTACAGTTAGAGGTTTTATGTTTAAGTTTTTAATTCATTTTGAGTTAGTTTCTGTATATAGTATGAAATAGGGTCCAACCTTATTCCTCTGCATGTGGATATCCAGTTTTCCCATCACCATTTAATGAAGAGAATATCCTTATCCTACAGTGTGTTCTTGGTGCTCTTGTTAAACATCAATTGACTGTAAGTGAGTGAATCTATTTCTGAGATCTCTATTTTGTTTCACTGGTTGATGTATCTGTTTTTAATGACAATGCCATACTGGTTTTGATTACTGCAGTTTTGTAATATATTTCAAAACCAGGAATTATGAAGTCTCTAGGGCTTTTGTACTTGCTAAAAGACCATTTTGGCTATCTGGGGTCTTTTGTGGTTCTGAATGAATTTTAGAATTTTTATAAAGAAAGCCATTGGTGTTATTATGGGGATACTATTGAATCTGTAGATTAATTTGGAAATTATGGACATTTTAACCATATTAATTCTTCCAATCTATGAATGTAGGTGGTCTTTCCATTTATCTGTGCCTTCTTTAATTTTCATTCTATAATTTTCTGTATATAAGTCTTTCACCTCTTTGGTTAACTTTATTCCTTGACATCTTATTCTTTTTTATTGCTATTATAAATGAGACTATTTTCTTAATTTCCTTTTTGTATAGTTCATTGTTAGTGTGTAGAAACACTACTGATATTTATATATTGATTCTGTAACCCAGAAATTTACTGAATTTATTAGTTGTAACAGTTTTTGTTAACTCTTTAAGGTTTTCTACAGATATGAGCATGCCATCTTCATCATGACATTTAAGTTCATTCCCAGTACTAGCACAGTGCCTTACACAAAATAGGCATGAAATTAAAATGAATATAACGGTGAGTGGGGAATAATTCTGAAACCTAGCAAGTATTATGTTATATGAAAGGGGTTTTCATAGTTCTAGTTTCATTGAAAATACCTACCTGATTTATCAATGATGGCATCAATCTCTTCAATCACATCAAAATAGGCCTCATTGTTGGTGTATTTCACTCCAGTTCGTCGCCAAGGCACCACTGACAGCTGCCCAGTGGGTAGTTGGTCACCCACATTGGTGCTTCCTAAGGTAATAAACATTAGTGTAATTTAATTCTAATTTGATAATTGGATATAGTCAATTATCTAATCACCATAAAACTTTCCCAGACATTTCTATGCTCCCACTATTTATGCACTCACTTGAGGAATTTTTAAAAACGATTGTTTTCCTAATTTCTATATGGATAACCTAGACTATTTTTAAAACTGGCTGCCATCTGGTCTGCCTCCTCAAGAAAGATAAAGATTTAAAAGGTTACCTAAGAAACAATATCATATTTTGGTTTTGAAAGTAACCTGAACTTGGTTTCTCAAATTCCACAATAGCTTGCAGTTAAATAATATATTGGTGGTCAGTAGGGGTGGTAATCTATGTATTCATATAAAATTTTCACAGATAATAACATTCTACTTTGACATAGGTTCTTTTTTTTCATTGATCTGTAACTTTTTTTTAAACAATATTTGCTTCCCCCCACCCCCTCAGATTGAATCCACATAGAATTTCCTTCCCTAAGGCACCCATGCACCATCACCAGTCTCCTGTGCTCCTTCCTCCCTCCCTCTGATCCCATTCCATCTTCCTCCCCTGCAGCATGTCTCTGATTTATAATTGTCTGTTTTTGCTTTGCTGTGCTTTGTACTGTTATTATTTTTTTTTATACTGATGTCTTATTTGGTTCCCCTATATTCCTGTTATAAGTGAAACCATCCGATATTTTTCTTTTTCCAACATAGGTTCTTAAGCACATTTACGACAGGTATTACAATGTATTATACATCAGCATAATCTCTCTTACACCAAAACATTTTGAAATTTAGGAAAACAATACAAATGAGATTTTTCTATAAATCTATAAATCAATTCCTTGACTTGATTTTTCCCATATAGGCACTGAAAATATACTTTGTAATTCAAAAGTTACACTGAAATTTAAAAGCTATTTCCTTCTTATGTAACCTGGATTTTTTTTTAACCTAAAGTAAACAGCATTAAACATAGATAAACTCAGAATGTTTACAAAACATTTCAGCTTTTCAACAGTGGTTCACAGATACCTTTTTCTAGATATAAGTGAGATTCAGAAAAATGACTTTATAGTATTCATAAATGATTCAGGAACTAACAAAATTTTTAAGGTCTAAATGAACCCAGGATATTAAAAAAAAAAAACAGCAAATTTGTTTTCTTAAAAAGAAGTACTATTATTAAAACATATCATTGGGCTTATAATAATTAAAGCAATATCGTAGGAAAGCCTAAAAACAGACCAAGAATCCATAATGACTTAATACAAGATAAAAATATCATTTTGAAACAGAGAATTCAATAAATGGTGCTAGGAAAACTAATATATAATTTTAGAGAAACGGAGACCCTTATTTTTTTTTTTTAATTTATTTATCTGTCTTTTTTTTTTTAAGATTTATTTATTTATTTATACAAGCACTGGGTACAGTCAGAAGCGCGGGAGGGCAAGACAATTCAGAGTCAGAGCGGAGAGCAGGGCAGGCAGACTGACGAAGTACACTGCTGAGGGGAGCAGCGGGCGGCAGGAGAGGTCTGCGCGCCATGTGGTACCCTTGCCTGGCGGCCGGGGATTGAACTGGCGCTGCAGAGGCTGCGGGCAGCTTCTCAACCCAGAGCTCAACCACTCCGCCACCGGGGAGGCCCGAGAGCCTTATCTTATATTATATAGACCGAGATAATCTTCAAGTCAATTAAAGAGTTAAATCTAAAAAAAAGTCATAAAACAACTAGCAGGAAATACACTGCAAAGAAAGACCATCCCGACTCTGAGATCAAGATGATATTCTCTGGGACCTCCCTGGTGGTGCAAAGGGTTAAGACACAGCCTATGAAGCTATCTGCAGCCTCTGCAACACGAGTTCTATCCCTGGCCAGGGAACAACCCACATGGCGTAGCAGACCTCTCCTGACTCGCCTGCTTCTCCCCTCAGCTGTCTATTTCAGTCAATCTGCCTGTTCTGCTCCCCACTCTGTCTCTGGTGAATCCTCTCACCACCACCCTACCTCTGGCCTGTACCCCAGCTCTTATATGCATAAATAAATCTTTTTAAAAAAGAGGTTTTAGCAGGCCTCCCCGGTGGCACAGCGGTTGAGTGCTGGGTTGCAAAGCTGCCGCAGCCTCTGCAGCGCCAGTTTGATCCCCGGCTGCTCCCCGGCCACCGGAGGAGGGTCCCACATGGCGCGCAGACCTCTCCTGCCGCCCGCTGCTCCCCTCAGCAGTGTACTTGGGTCCTTCTGCCTGCTCTGCTCCCCGCTCTGGCTCTGTTGAATTCTCTCACCCTCCCGCACTTCTGACTGTACCCAGTGCTTGTATGTATAAATAAGTAAATAAATAAATCTTTAAAAAAAAAAAAAGAGGTTTTAGCTAACTGTCTCAACACAATATATTTAACAAATGGTTCCTGATCCACTAATTTGATATATGACCACATCTATGTATGCTAAATTCCTTTATAAGGGTCCATCTCTGGTCTTTTATATTATCCCGATAATCTATTTGTCTATTACTGTGCCAAAATTATATTTTTAAAACTATCTAAACTTCATAATATATCTTGAATCTGATAAGATATATTTTGTCCATCACTCATTTTAAAACTTGTGTAAATTTTTTTTCAAAATTATCTTGGCTGTTCTTGTATATTTATACTTCTAAAGATTTATTTTTCATTCAGGTTATCAAGTTCTATGACAACCTTGTTTTATATATTAAGCAAGACCCAAAATGTAAAACCTCAATGAGACAAAAACTGTATGAAATAAAACCTTAATCTAAAACCTTAATGCATCAAAAAAATTTTATATGTGAGTAAACTAACAATATCATGAGCAATGTTAATGACAAATGTCAGACTGTGAGAAAATACCTGTAACATAGTATTCAAAATACAAAAAGAACTCCTACAAACTACATGTGTACTTCTCACATATACATAGCTTTAATTCTTTTTTTTATATGTCCACAATTAGCTTTTTTATTTTTTTAAATAATAAATTTTATTTTTATATTCCCCATACAATTGCAACACCCCCATTCTGACCCCAATCCCTTCCCTCCCGCCCCCAACCCCCCAAAAAGTGTCTCTGGTTCATAGTTTTTTGTTGATTTTGATTTTCACTTTCTTATAGTTATTCATTTTCCTGGTCCCTTATTTAAGTTTTCTAGATTCCTGCTACACAGCTTTAATTCTTAAGTGACAGGAATTCTCTTAATTTAGTATGAAAAAAGAAAAACACTTAAAAAAAAAGGGTAAAGGACACAGAAAGATGATTTACGATAGAAGAAAAAGTCAATAAGCAATTGAACAGATTTCAACTTCTTTAATAACAAAAGTGTAAAAATAATAAGATATCATTAAACTATCAAGTTGCCAAATTTAAGAAAAAATGATGATAGAGTAGGCTAAGGTGCATAGAACTTGCCACTGAAAGTATAAATTGGCATAAATTTTCTGGAAGGCAATTTGACATAATGAATTAAGGTCCTTAAAATGTATGCACCATTTGACACAGCACTGCTGTTTCAAGTACAGAAAAGAAATCATCCTTTATTATGCAAAGATGTTAATTCCCTGTTATTTAAAAGGACAAAAAATCAGAAAGGTCATAAATAGGAACTGAGCTAATAACACAGGGTCTATTCCACACATCAGAAAATGGTAAAGTCACTAAAAATGACATAGGGAATATTTATCATAATGGGATCATTTTCACAAAATGTTGATTAAAGGTAAGTTTAAAAGTTGAACAAGAGTTATTTAACATATCAGCATATTAAAAGTGTGGTGGGGTTAAGAGTTATTTTCATGTTCTTTGTGCTTCTTTCCATATCCAATGTTTCTACACTAATCATGTGTTTTTTCTGTAATGAGGAAAAAAATTATTTTTAAAGGAGAACAGTTCATTCCGTCATTGGAATCAAGGTGTTTTCTACATTACAAAAGAACTATTTCAAGCCATACTCAAAGACACATTAAAGCAGCTGGATATTTGTGATCCCTCAAAACAAAGCATAACTCCAGATGAAGCCAAGATGGCAGCAGCTTTCTGTGGGTTCCCCCGTCTCCCTACCTGTTATGGTATTGACCACTGTTCGAAGAATAGTGGGAGGCTTTATCAGTTCTTTGAGGATATTCGACTCTGTAGCCAGTGGAAATCCATTGTCAAGCATCTCTTCCAACACCTCATAAACCACAACCACGTTGTCTTTGATGACTGGCTCTGAACAGACACCAAAATAATCCTGGTGAAAATATAATAAACATTTATCACTCAGAGGCTGTAAACAGTGAAAGAATGTTGTTAGAGAATCAGGATCTAGTCCCATGCATATGTGTTTACTCAGACTTTCTAGGAAATTCTACAGTGAGAGAATGAGACATTTCACAAAGATCTCTTAGCCAGCCTGGTGAGGCAGAAGGAATGCTGAACTAGCTTACAGCACCAGTGACATTACTAACTTTTTAGAAACTAGGATAAGTCACTTAATCTTTTTAGATCAATTTATTCAACTAGATAAAATAAAGAGAATAAAAAACAATCTATAAATGAGTCATGGGAATGTAATGTACAGCAGAGTGACTATAGTTCTCATAAGAAAAAAAATTTAAAATATGGTGACAAATGCTTACTAGACTTACTGTGGTGATCATTTTCCAATGTAAACAAACGTCAAACCATTATACTGCAGTCTGAAACTAACAAAGTGATATCTCAATTACATCAAGCTTTTAAAAAACAAATTGAATCTAGACCACAACATGTATTTATGAACAAGATTTAAAAGAACTATATAGGGCCTCCCCTGGTGGCGCAGTGGTTGAGTGCTGGGCTGCAAAGCTGCCCGCAGCCTCTGCAGCGCTGGTTGGATCCCGGGCCACCAGCGAGGGTCCCACATGGGGCAGGAGATCTCTCCTGCCGTGTCCACTGCTCCCTTCAGCAGTGTATTTCGTCAGTCTGCCTGTTCTGTTCCCCACTCTGGCTCTGGTGAATTCTCTCACCCTCCCGCGCTTCTGACTATACCCAGTGCTTGTATAAATAAATAAATAAATCTTTTTAAAAAAATCTTTTAAAGAAAAAAACAAAGAATTATATAAAATGATAATACTTGATATGGAATAGACTGAACAAGAAAAACTTTTTAACCTTTACTTTGGTGCTATTCCTTAACATTTATGCAGTGAATGCCAACTGGAAGGAAAAATAATGAAATGAGAGGGGTGAATCAGCACACCAGAAAGGCCTTACCTTAACATTCTAGAAACTCAAGATTCTAGAAACTCATTGTTCTTTTACTAACAAAGACTAAACTTAGATACTGCATTATCTGAGTGTGGAAAAAAATCACTGGATTCCAAATCAGAAGACTTAATTTATAATCATAACAATCACTTAATAGATTAACTCATGCTAATTTGGGTTTTGACTTCTTTAATAGTATAATCATTATTGGACACACAGGGATGTTATAAGAACAAAGTATGGTTGATAAAATGATTATATGTATGAAAGTGCTTTGTAAACTATAAAGCACTATGCAAAATGTAATATATGCATAATGAAATGACTTAAAAAGAAATATTTTTAGTCATTTGGTGTACCCTTCTAGCAAAGTCAGTTATACCTTTCACTGGACTTCCGAGATGGATCACACAATGCTCTTTGAATTCATACACTCAAGGGAAATTTACTCATTTTGAGAAAGTCCATTCTATTCATGGATAGTTTTGATATTAAAAAGTTCTTTCTCTGCTGAACTGAAATTTGCTTGTAAGATTGATATTATAGAACACATTTACATAAGAGTCCCACAGTTATTTGGAGGTAACTATAAGCTTTCATTTCAATTTCTTTTCTCAGGGCCAAATTCCCTGTTTCAGCCTTCCACTGTTCATGCTTTAGTATGACTTCCAGATCATTTCACCGTCTTGCCATTTAATACACTGTATTTTTCAAATATTCTCAAAACATAACATCAAAATTATGTCACTCAAATTGTAGATATCCAAAATTAAAGACAGACTCTGGGTATGATCTAAATTATGTCAGATAATGTTAATTTCCAAGAGCACTTAGGAGTCAGGAATTTCTTATTTAAAAATGAGAATTTAAGAGAAAAAAAGTTACACACTTTCTTTCCAAGAATGATTTTATTTTGGAAAGATGAAAAAACACATCACTAGATTTTATAAATCAGGTATAATATGAACTGAGTTGTTGGAAAGGAGAATGCAAGAATAACAAAGTGGTACAGCAAAAGTGCTGCAATTATATAGTTGAAACTCTTCTGTCACATTCTGTACAAAAAGAAATTACGCAGTGAAAGAGAACACACATCATATAAAGCAATAAAATCAGGATGTGTTCAGTCACTTTAAACAAATGCTTCAAAAATGACAAACTCTGTAGCCCCAGACTTCCAAACCAGCATCTTTACAGTTTTCCCAAATTCCTCTGTGGTTTCAACTATATTAAACAACTTTTTTCACTTCCTATCTGTAATAAGTTACATAATATTACTATGGCGATAGGAAGCAGATGTTGAGTTTCACAAATGGGAACGTTAATCTTAGAATGGGGTAAAATACCACATGTGGAAATCATAACAAGACCCAACTAGAGTAGCTGAAGTTTATAACTACAGGGTTCTTCTGTTTTAGTTCCTCCACCTACTGGGGTTTGTAATTTTGGGGGTTTTATTGTGTGAAGAAACCAGTATACCACATGAGAACTAAAATCCTAGAATAGTACTGCCAAAAAGTATTTGCAGGAAAAATTATAAAATATATATTAATTCTGCTAGCATAGTTGTTCTAGACATGTGATAAAGATATGAGTACAGATGAAAGGACTTTGATCTTTTAAATTTTTATCATGTGAAAGTCCTCATTCTTTTCTTCACAGTTCCACCATTTCTGTATTCATGTGGTTAACTGCAGACTTCACATGACACAGGAATTAAACCAAAGGGCCCTTGTTTCTCATTGATCATCTGAGTTTATGCAAATACCCACAACAGTTAGAAGTTGAGCAATTCCTTGAGGGAAAGGATTCTACTTGTCTGAACTGAGAGTCTGGGCAGTCCCAAATCCTATGCTAGAAAAGGTGCTAACACCCACTACTTAACTTCCCTTACACCGCATTCCTCAAGATCTTCAAATCTATTCCTGAAAGAAAACTCAAATTGAAAACTGTCTCTTGATAAAATGTGTCACTGAAATTCTTACAGTACAGAAGATTTTCCAATTTTAAGTTTGCAATGAAAGCTCAACCCTAGTCCTCATTTGCTATGGATAAACACCCCAAATCCAAGATGATATATAGGGTCACAAATTACCTCTGCTAGGGAGAGTGAAAACATCTATCTATCTATATCTTTACAGATTTATCACTCTGATGTAACTTAAAAGCAATGTATTTAATGGACAGTATCAAGTCCACTAAAACAGAAACTAAAACCCTCTGATTTGTGAACAGAAAGTAGGATAATCGCAATCTCCAGAACTAAAATGACTATACATCATCATATCAAGTAGAGTGGCTTTCTCTCATGCAACAGATTCAAAAATAGTCGATTTGTCATTGTAGATGTAGCCAACAAACAGGAACAAGAATCTTATTGGGCAGTTATGGAAATGAGCAACGTTAGGAATTTTCATTTTTTAAAAAAGTTTCTTAATTGAGGCTGAATGCAAAGAAAACACAACTATAAAGACACTTTATAATCAACGTATTTGAACCTCCTCATATTCACGCACCTGAAATGTGTCCACTACTCGGTGAAGAAACTCAATGACAAATAGAGGAGGGACTTCCGTCTGGATCACAGCTACAAAAAAGATCTTGTGGCGGTAAACACTTAAGAGATAGTGGTGAGGAGTAGGGATAACTGGAGGCACATTTTCTGCCTCCGTAGCTCTCTCTTGCGCTTCAAAAAAATAATCACAGACAGAACGGCTGACCACACTTTTCCAATGTTTCTCCAGGAAAATATCTCCTGAGGAGTTGATCAAAAAAAGGCTGTGAATCATGATGGAGACTGTTAGAGAGAAAAATCTTTTTCAGTCTGAAAGCCAAGTTCTGCAAATTTTCAGTCCTAAAATCAAAAGAAGCCATGGTTAGTTCCATTTCAACGAAAAACACCCCCTATTTCTTGCAGCAGTCCAAGTCTTAGCTATCTTTCAAGACTAGGCACACTGAGCCTGAAGTATTCCTTCGGATTCCTAGAATTCCTATGGATAATTATCAGCCATCATGTTTGTCAATCAGTCATATACTGCTCAGTTATCCTTACTATTGACTTATTTTTTTTTTTTTTTTTAATAGAGGCATGTTTTATTTTATTTATTTGTTTGTTTGTTTTGTTTATACATGCACTGGGTACAGTCAGAAGCGCGGTAGGGTGAGAGAATTCACCAGAGCCAGAACGGGGAGCAGAGCAGGCAGAAGGACCGAAGTACACTGTTGAAGGGAGCAGCGGGCGGCAGGAGAGGTCTGCGCGCCATGTGGGACCCTCCTCCGGTGGCCGGGGAGCAGCCAGGGATCGAACCGGCACCGCAGAGGCCGCGGGCAGCTCCGCAACCCAGCGCTCAACCGCTGCGCCACCGGGGAGACCCCTTACTATTGACTTATATCCTGAATTGCATTTATTTAAGATCCAACTTAATTTTTGGATGCCTATTTTCTCAACTGGACTGGAAACTCCTTGAGGAAAAAAACAACATGCCTTACATTTTTTGTTGTCTCATTGCACAGTGCCACCCTTGCATACAGAAGACGTCAAGGATTGCTGGGTTCATGCATATGGCCACAATCAAACAATATACAACAAAATATGGGTTGTTGTGCAGTCTCCTTTAGTAGCCATTAGCCAAATGGAGCTATTAAACAATCCCAACTAAGAACTGCTATGAGTGTAAGATACCAAATTTTGAAGACTTTTTATTAAAAAAGTTTTAAGTCAATTTGTCAACAACGATTAATTTAATAATTAGCATTCAACTGCTGGTGATTATATTTAATATTGGTTTATTTGAATATACTGGGTTAAGTATAATTAATTTAGCCTCTCATTATTTTAATGTGGTTAACTATAAAATGTAAAATTACATATTTCCTACGTAACGTATTTCTGTTGGGCAACACCGGTCCATGGACTGGAAAGCTGTCATTGTCATTGTGGTCTTCATTCACTCTGTCAGGCTGCGACCAGCGTTCTAAATACTTATTACACGTGAGGCTCAGTGTTGGATGCCTTGGGAAAAAAAGCCCTGAGGCATATTCCAGGTTCCCCAGACGGCAGAATCTTGACGGTGCCAGTCCCCAGAATGGGGTGGCTGCAAAGGGAACCGAGTGATCTGGTCCAGGTGGTGTAATCACCAAGGCCTGTAGTACCAACTGCCCCAGGGCACGCTTGATCCCCTTGGCGGTGGACGAGATGGCAGAAGGGAAGGACAGGAGAAGGTAGTCAGGGTGTGGAGGAGATGCGGCTGCCTAAGTGGGTTATTTCGGAGCCGGTCTCCGCTTAGCCGCCTGCGAGCCAGGGATGACGGAGGCCATTTGGGGGGTGGAGGGCAGACCGGGGGAGGATTTAAGTGGGGTGGTGAGGAGGGGTTAGAAATGGGTCACGACGCCAGAGCCCCGTCAGTTTGCACCCAAGCGTTGCCATGGCAACAGAAGCCCTCCACCTTCAGCTCCCCCGCCGGCGCGCGTCACCTCCCCAGCCTGGTACTCCGTCCCTCATCTCTCCCCGCCGCATCCCGCAGCTCGCAGGGTCCTCCCGGTGGCATCCGATGACTCTGCCCCAGCCCCGCGCCCGCCCCGGCCCCGACCTTCGGGCGTCCCCGCTCCCGTCGCGGTCGCTGCGCGCGCGCGTTGCCCCACCTCCGACCCCGGCCGCCGGCGATGCTCACCCGGCCTCGCGCTCCTCGGCTCCCACCGTTCCGCGGCTCCGGCAGGCCCCGCCCCCCGGCCGCCCCCTGGCGCGGCGCACCGGCCGCTCGCCCGCTGATTGGCCGGCCCGCGGGCCTCGCGCCAGCGCCGCCCGAGCCCGGAGTGTGAAGGCCGGCGATTGGGCGTCGGTGATCTGCTCCTCCCCTCTGATTGATCGGGGCCCGCGGCTCACCCAGTTCCAGGGCTCCAGCCCCCAATTGGCTTTTGTTAAGACTTCGGTGATCTGTGATTGGTTCAGCGCTGAGAGGCCGCGCCTGATTGGCTGTCGGGAATAGTCTGCGGGCCGCCTGGACCCTAGTTCGCCGGTTACAAAGGGCCTGGGCTGCTGCCGCTGCCACCTGCGTGGCCGCGGAGTGCAGCTCGGGGAGGGCGGGGGATGCTGGCAGGTGTGGTATCTGGGGCATGATTAATCTTAGAGCATATCGTGAGTAATAAATCATGGGTGGTAATCACTACTCTCCATTAGGTTAAGTACGTTTAAAAAAGACATGCTGCCTTTTCATTTGCTGCGATGGGTAAAGTAAGGGTGATGAGCTGTCAGGCGTGTGATCCTGAAGCCCTGGACCCGGATTCAGGAGGCCTCGTCCAGCCCCAGCTAGGCCACTCTCAGCAGTTGGGCAAGACATCAGAATCTCAGTTTCCAGATCTGATATTGAGGGGCCTGGGCAGGTCTCCACAACTGCACTGGCGCGCTCATGACTTTGATCCCCCCATTTCAGATGTACGTGACTCAAGTCAGTGTGATCCAGAAGGTATGGCGAGAAGTCAGAAGACAAGACTTAACTTTATTTTTTTATAATTTTTTTTAAGATTTATTTATTTATATAATAGTTGGGGCTCAGGTAAGAGGCGCGGGAGGGTGAGAGAATTCACCAGAAATAGAGCAGGGAGCAGAACAGGCAGAGGGAACGAAGACACTGCTGAGGGGGGCAGGAGAGGGCTGCTGCACCATGTGGCAATCTCCCTGGCTGGCTGGGAATCAAACCCGCGCGGCTGAGGCTGCGGACAGCTTCACAGCGCGACGCTCAACCCACTGCGCCACCGGGGAGGCCCAGGCTCAACTTTATTTTAACTGAAAATTAGTTATTAAATGAAATGAGATGTGGAAAGGGTTTGCCTTCACGCCAAAAGCATTGTTTGTGTTCAATAAAATAAGCCATGGAGGTGATGGTAACTGATGTCCACCTAGACGGTGAGGGTGTCACCATACCTGGGCTCTAGTTTTCATTGGGAAAACGGGGGGACTGAGTGGTAGCTCCTCCACAAACAGGACCATGATAAATGTTTATTTTTGTTTGTTGATAAATGTTTATTGAAAGTGGTGTAGATTGTTCTCGCCATACTTGCTAAGGGCAGATAACAGACTAATTTTGAGCTAAGTAAATGGGAAAGCCAAAAATCGAAATGCCTAAATGATGTGACACCCTACAATCTTAGGGATTCTAGTGCCTGGGTGTGAATCTTGCTAATGCTTACCAGCTGTGTGACCCTGAGAAAGTACCTTAACTTCTCTGAATTTAAAGTTCCTCACTTCTCAAATAAGGACACTAATAGCACCTACTTTGTGGGGTTGTTGTGAGGATTGAATTAGCAAGGTGTAATGCATTGTTATTACTGAAAAACAACACAAAAAACAATTACACATGGTTACCAAGCAATGCATATCTCAGGTGCAAAAATGCAGTCACTACTGTGAGCATTTCTCATTCATTTATTGAAGTAAATCAAGGAGAGACTCCTGTGTATCAAATCTTGGGCTGGGTACAGAGGATACTGCAATGAGTAGTATCACAGGCATAGCCTCTGTTGTCTGAGTCAAGTAAGAAGCAAATAATCAAGTAATTACAAAACAGTGTGATGAGCAAAGAACACATGGTGGTAGGGGGTGGGGCAGGGGTGTTGGTGGAGGGGACTGGCCTACATCAGAGAACTCCCTCTGAACAGAAACCTGAAAGATGAATATGGGTTTCATTGGGTGGAAAGGCAGAGAGAAGGGTACATGTGAAAACCTGTAGAGACCAGAGATTTGTAACTGAACTGGGAGTTCATTCATTTTTCCTGAAATGAGATTGAGAGAGTAAGTAGGAACAAAATAGTGATTAGTTTCGCATTCCTTAGTAATAGTTACAAAACACCATGTACCCTGCATGATTGATAAATACTAAGAGAGCCCTACTATGCAGCTGGCACGCACTGTTCTTTTGCTTGGATACATGAGGCCTAAGACAGGAATAATGTATCTAATGGAACTTACATTCTAGTGGGGGGAGGGGAAGACATAACCAATAAGCATAACAAGTATACAGCATATTAAAAGCTGGCAAGTACAGGGGAAAAAACAGAATGGAGTTCAGGAATATCATGGGACTGGAAAGCAAGTTAAAATTTTCATTTATTTTTTTAAGATCTATTTATTTATGCATACAAGAGCTGGGGTGCAGGCCAGATTTGCAGGGAGGTGAGAGGATCATAAGAGACAGAGTGGGGAACAGAACAGGTGGATCTACTGAAATACACTGCCGAGGGAAGCAGCTGGCGAGACAGGAGAGATCTGCTGCTCCATGTGGCTTAGCTCTCTGGCCGGGGAGGGCTGCAGTGGCTGCTGATAGTTTCATAGTGTTGAGACTTGACCCCTTGTGCCACCAGGGAGGCCCACAAATTATAATTTTTAAAAATTTTTTTTAAAGATTTATTTATTTATGCACACAAGAGCTGGGGCACAGGCCAGAGATGCGGGGGGTGAGAGGATTCACCAGAGACAGAGTAGGGAGCAGAACAGGCAGATTGGCGGAAATGTACTGCTGAGGGGAGCAGTAGTCGAGACAGGAGAGGTCTGCCTCGCCATGTGGGTTTCTCGCTGGCCAGCCAGGGATTGAACTCATGCTCAGAGGCTACAGATTGCTTCATAGTGCAGTGCTTAACCCTTGCGCCACCAGGGAGGCCCAAGTTATAACTTTTTTTTAAGATTATTTATTTATTTGTTTGTTTGTTTGTTAAAGATTTATTTATTTATTTATACAAGCACTGGGTACAGTCAGAAGCGCGGGAGGGCGAGAGAATTCACCAGAGCCAGAGCGAGGAGCAGAGCAGGCAGAAGGACCGAAGTACACTGCTGAGGGGAGCAGGGGGCGGCAGGAGAGGTCTTCGTGCCATGTGGGACCCTCCTCCAGTGGCCAGGGAGCAGCCAGGGATCGAACCGGCGCTGCAGAGGCTGCGGGCAGCTTCACAACACAGTGCTCAACCGCTGCTCCACCGGGGAGGCCCTAAGATTTATTTATTTATACAAGGACCCAGGTACAGACCAGATGCACAAGAGGGTGAGAGGACTCATCAGAGACAGAGTGGGGAACAAAACAGACAGACTGACAAAATACACTGCTGAGGAGAGCAGCAGGCAAGACAGGAGAGGTCTGTTGCACTGTGTGGGTTTCTCCTGGGCTGGCCAGGATCCAACCATGCTGCAGAGGCTGCGGACAGCTTCACAGTGCAGTGCTCAACCACCTGCGCCACCAGGGTGGCCCCCAAATTATAATTTTTCACTAAAGTTAGTAATTTATGGTAGTAAGAGTAAGTCTCATTGGAAGGAGACATTTGGGTAAAAATTTATTTTTTTAAAAATATATTTATGCATACAAGAACTGGGTTAGTGCCTCCCCTAGTGGCGTAGGCGGTTGAGCGCTGTGCTGTGACGCTGTCCACAGCCTCTGCAGTGCCATTTAGATCCCAGCGGGCTGGAGAGGGTCCCACATGGCGCTGCAGACCTCTCCTGTCTCACCCGCTGCTCCCCTCAGCAGTGTATTTCTTCAGTCTGCCTGTTCAATTCCCCGCTCTGTCTCTGGTGAATCCTCTCACCTTCCCGCGAATCTGGCCTGTACTCCAGTTCTTGTATGAATAAATAAAAAATAAATCTTTAAAAAAAAAAAAAAAGAACTGGGATACAGGCCAGAGGTGCAGGGGGTAGAGGATTCACCAGAGACAGAGTGGGGAACAGAACAGGCAGAATGACTGAAATACACTGCTGAGGGAAGCAGCGGGTGAGACAGAAGAGGTCTGCTGTCCCATGTGGGCCACCTCCCTGGATGGGGATTGAATTCGTGCTGCAGTAGCAGCAGATAGCTTCATAGTGCTGTGACTTAACCCCTTGTGCCACCAGGCAGGCCCCTGGGCAAGGATTTAAAGGAGAGGGAGTTAGTTTAAGGATATCTGTGGGAAGAGCTTTCCAGTGAAGGGAATAAGCAGTGCAATGGTTTATTTGTTTGTTTGTTTGTTAAAGATTTATTTATTTATTTATACAAGCACTGGGTACAGTCAGAAGCGCGGAAGGGCGAGAGAATTCACCAGAGCCAGAGCGAGGAGCAGAGCAGGCAGAAGGACCGAAGTACACTGCTGAGGGGAGCAGGGGGCGGCAGGAGAGGTCTGCGCGCCATGTGGGACCCTCCTCCAGTGGCCAGGGAGCAGCCGGGGATCGAACCGGCGCTCATATGTAGAGCATATGTGGGGAGTCCCAGCAACAGGAAGAATAATGGCACAATGGAAAAGATAGGTTCTACCACAGTAGTGAACTAGCCAGGGGTAAAGGAGATGATGTAATAGGGTTGAGGATAGGGACTTGATTACACAGGCTCTTGAAATCTGTTTAAAGGATTTTGGCTTGGACTGGTTGTGAAGTGGGGGCTAATGGAGGGTTTGAGCAAGAGTG